GGACGCGGTAGGGGACGCGCGCGAGACCGACGCAGAGTAGGGCCAGGATTAGCAGGCGGTGCGGGCATCTAGGTTTAGGCCGATCGGAGTGAGACGCAAACAAGGAAGATTTGGGGCAGGAATTACTTAGCTTCCTTAAGAATTCTAGTATGGTTATGATTTTAAATAAAAGGCATGTGCCTATAGTATTTTACTTGTTTGGTAATTCTTAGATATTAGGATATTGAGTTTCCTCAGGAGTTTATTTACTTGCATGATTTAGAATACTAATTGGAGTAGGATTAGATTTATTTAGCATCTATAAATACCCATGTACTTTTGTTATTTTGAATATGTCAAGAAGTTAATAGAAAAAGAACGTTTTGTTCATTCATGTGTTTGGACAAGGCCGTTAGTGCGTGTTTATCATACAATCGTGTTCGAAAGAAGGCCTTAGAGCACCTTTAGTCACAACCTATCATGTTTAAACGAAGGCCCTTAGTGCGTGTTTATCTACAAACTTGGACAAAAAATGCGATCCCTCATCACAGTCCCACAACTAATGCTGCCAAAACACCACTAGTCATCAAGGTCGACTCTACTGCCTCTAATTGTAGTCGTTCGAACTCCCAATATAACACCTTCTATCTAGCAAGCATACTAGGCAACTCACTATGACTCCTCTGACTGAGGGCGTCGACGACCACATTAGCTTTCTCGGGGTGGTAGCTAATCGTGCAGTCGTAGTCCTTAACGAGCTCTAACCAACGCGGTTGCCGCATATTGAGCTCTTTTTGGGTGAAGATGTACTTCAGGCTCTTATGGTCAGTAAAGATCTCGCACTTGCCTCCATACAGATAGCGTCGCCAAATCTTCAGGGCATGGACTACCGCGGCTAACTCCAAGTTGTGGATGGGATAGTTCGTCTCATGAGGCTTCAACTGACTCGATGTGAATGCCACGACTCTCCCTTGCTGCATCAAAACACAACCCAAACCCAACTTCGAAGCATCACTATAGATGGTGAACTCCAAAGTCGGATCCAGAATAGTCAACACATGTGTTGTGTTCAGTCTCCGCTTCAACTCTTGGAAACTAGCCTCGCACTCGGAACTCCACTCGAATCTCGCAGCTTTCTTCGTAAGGTTGGTCATCGGTTAAGCTATCTTCGAGAAACCCTCGATAAATCTGTGGTAGTATCCTGCTAGGCCCAGGAAACAACGGATGTCACTGGCGTTCCTTGGTGTATACCAACTCTTCACCGCCTCGATCTTTCTAAGATCCACTTCTATGCTCTAGCCGTCACGATATATCCAAGGAATGCCACAAGATCAAGCCAGAACCACACTTCGAGAACTTCGCGTACAACCTCTCCTTGCGAAGCGTCTCTAGTACAAGCCTCAGATGAATCTTATGCTGCTTAACGTCCTTCGATTATACCAAATTGTTATCGATGAAGACAATGACAAATTGGTCTATGTACCGATGGAAGATTCAGTTCATCAAGTCCATAAATACCGCCGGTACATTGCTCAACCCGAACGATATAACCACGAACCCGTAGTGTCCATACCTAGTCTGAAAGGCCGTCTTGGAAACGTCGGATCCCGAATCTTCAGCTGATGGTAGCTAGATCTCATGTCGATCTTAGAGTACACGCTGGCTCCCCTCAACTAGTCGAAGATCCTCGATCCGGGGCAGTGGGTATTTGTTCTTCACATTTAGGTTTTTCAAGTATCTGTAGTCAATGCACATCTGTATCGACCCATCTTCTTCTTGACAAACACCACGGGCGTTCCCCAGGGCGAAACACTCTGCCTGATGAAGCCAAGGTTTAGAAGTTCCTGGATCTGCGACTTGAGCTCTTGCAGCTCCTTCGGTGACATTTTGTACGGTGCCTTCGAAACTGGACCAGCTCCGGGAACCAAGTCGATCGTGAAATCAACCTGTATATCGGCAGTCCTCCAGGAAACTCATTCGGAAATTTATCCAGGTACTCGCATACGATGGACACACTCTCCAGCGACAACTCCTTCTTCTCCTTGCTAACCATACTCACCAAGTAGCCTTGACAACTACCCTTTGATAAGCTCCGCATCGCCTTCAAGAAAGAGATAGCCCTGGGCACAAATCTCATCTTCGCTCCATAGAAGATGATTAGCTGGCCGTCGTCAGGAAGCAAAGTCACCTCACGCTCTAGGAATCTGATGTCGGCACGGTACCGGGTGAGCCAATCCATGCCGAATATCACGTCAAAGTCCCACATCTCAATGATGTAGGTGTCGGCCTCCAAGTTTCTCCCACCGATGCTAACTCGTAAACCATGCACCATAGTATCTGTAGCAATCGTGTTTCCCGAGGCTAGGCTAACCTCGAGAGCGTCGACCTTACTAACATTTCTAATTCCTAAGGCTTTCAAGCAACGCGATGAAATGGAAGAATGTGTGGCACCAGTATCATATAGAGCAAATACAAGCACGTTGGAAATGGAAAGCATGCTAGACATGGTACCTGTGTTGTCTGTGGTCCACGTCATGGGTGAGAGCATAGACTCAAGCCGAGCCTTCGAGTCACTTCTGGTTTTGTTGTTGGTGTTGCGGGTATTGAAGCTTCTGCTGATGTTGTCCCAGGTTCTGCCTCTTCGGCTCTGGGAACATGTGGGCAAGGTGTCCGAGTCGCTGGCAATTATAGCAGGTCTTCTAGGCCACAAAACACTCTCCGTCTGCATGAAACCTGCCACATGACCCTCATTGTGGTGGTCCCCCGGGAACCTATTGAATGGGTTGGGTTCGCTGTGGTTGTTTGTCGTTATCACAGCGTTTGGTCCTCTTGCGGTTTGGGTGGTAGTCATTACCCCTCTTGTTCGAGCCGGACGGGGGCTCAGTAGTAACAACTGGCTGAGTACCGATGGTTGACTGAGTAGGCTGGGCATGATAGTAGGAAGGGACGACGGTAATAGGGGTCACACAGCTCTCAATCTACTGTTCTCGGATAACAGTGTCCGCGAAAGGTAGACCTCCGTGACTCGCCACCAAGACTCAGATGTCCTGGCGAAGCCCGTCTCTGAACTTATGAGCCTTCCTCTCCTCTTTGTATACCATGTGGCGGCAAAATCACTCAACTGGGTAAAAGCCCGAGCATACTCATCAACAGAAGTGGTGCCCTGCTGGAGATCCCAGAACTCCCACTCATTCTGGTCACGATAGTTCTTAAGAATGTACTTGTCAGAAACAATCTCCTTCATTCTCACCCAGGTGAGGGCATTCCGCTCAGCCTTCGGCCTCAGAACCCAATAGTCAGTCCACCAGACAGAGGCATCACCCTCCATCTGGTACTCAACACACTCGATGGCTGGGCGTCTGAGCATCGGAGAACGGTGAGGTTCCTTTCCAGCTTACGGAGCCACTCCGTCAAAGTTGTTGGCCCCTCCACTCTCGAAAAGGTTAGGGGACGCATGTTCTGAAATCGCTCAATCATACGACCATGATCTTCACCCTGAGCAGGTGGAGCCTGCTGAGGTGTAATGTGCATTATCGAAAGCATTAATGTGCATTTGGTGTAACTATTGTGCAATTTTACAATTACTAATGTGTATCTCGTTTAATACTATTGTGCATTTTACAATACATATATTTTTTATGTGCAAATCTAAACTCAAACCGAACTGAAATAAATGAGCTTGTAGGTTAAGTAAATAAATTAACCTAAATAATTTAAATATCTTGTTATTTATATTATAAACATATATTAATATTTAATAATTGTAATTGAAAATTTATAATATATGTATATGTATGCATAGAAAAATAGATAAAATAATATTATTTTTATAAACTTTTGTAGATTACAAATTCAGCCTATGGGCTAACTCGAATATAATATTTTTTTTTCTTAAATTTCATGCAAACCCTAATATTTTTCCAATTTACAAAAAAAATAAAATAAAATAAAATAAAAATCCCCAACAACCAATCCCAAAATTGCACTGCCGATCGGACACCCCCTGCTCGACCACTCCTTCTTCAACATCCAGCCCAAGCTCTCATCATCTTCTTCCTCCGGCAGCCGCCTCCGATGTGACAATAATTGAAGTTACAAAATCGCTTCTCCATTTATTCACTGTTGAAGGATCGGAAAAATCGCCGTCGAAATGGACGAGGAGGAGGAAGAGGTGGGGCTGGCGTCAGGGTTGTGATTCATGGCATTCTTTTCACGCCGGCAACCGCTGATTTTCAGGAGGAGCGGTCGGTCGACGGTTGTGAAGAACATGTTGGTTACGGTTCAGGCAACGATGGCGACTGGAGAGGGCGGCGTTGATTGGATGCGGCCGAAGTTTGGGAGGCGGTGGTGCTAGCGTATCGGCGGTGATCTCTGATTTTTTTTTTGGGTAATATGTGTGAATTGTGTGTGTGCGTCGTTGTGTGTGTGTGTATCTGTGTGTGAGAGAGAGAGAGAGAGAGAGAGTGAGAGAGAGAGGAGAGAGGGAGAGAGAGAGAGAGGAGAGAGGGATAGAGGGATCTTGAGACAGGCGGCTGGCGTGTGGTGGATAGTGGTGGGACCCACTGTTTTAGTGTTAATGGTAAATGTCTATATTACCCCTAATGGAGATATAATGTCTATATTACCCTTAATGAAGATATA